AAACTCCCAATATAAGTATTTTTTATCCCAAATCAAAAAAATAAGAAGATAGTAAAATCCATTTATTGTGATATAAAAACATTATTATTATCGTTCTAAATAAATGCCGCACGCCTATGATACGTCATGAAATTACAAAGGACGCACCGACCAAAGGTTTTTATGCTATTTCAAGTGACTTCAGATTTCAGATACACCATACCTTCGCTTCGCTTAAAAACCTCGCACTCCCCAGTAGTAAATCGCCCTCGTCGTTCGACATTAGCACCGAGCTTAACCAGACGCGGTCCAATTCGAAACTAAATTTAGGTATAGACAGTCATATACAGGGTGGCCAAACACGTGACGTCATAAAAAAAAATTAGATTCTCCACATCGAGAGGAACCCAAATCATCCCCATATATATGGTCCGATTTTGTTTAGTTTAGGAGTTATGATTTTTTTTCGGATTTTTCGAGAATTTTTGAGTTCTGTGTTTATTTTTACCATAACTTCGTTAATAATTGTGATAAATGCCTGCTTTTTTCACGATTATGTAGCTAAGACCTAAGGCTTAACTATCATATAATCATTCAAGTCATGTAACTAATACTACTTTTTAATTTTTTTCAAAATCTTCGAACATAACAAAAAAGTAAAAAAGTGCAACAACTTTGAACGTTTATAAAAAATTGAAAAAACATGTTCTTACTATTCGTAAGTATCTTAAAAACTTCCTTACGGTATCAGCTATTTACCGTAAAAATTTCATCAACCTAGCTTTACTACATGCTACCGTAATTGTGGCTCAAATAGAACCGAACCCAAAATTGGATAACCCTCTGCTCAATAGAAATTGTTAGTTTCGGAAAAAAAATTTGCAAAAACCACAAAAACACGTTTGATTTTTACTGAACAGCAGATTATTATTCATTTATGTTATTTACAAGAGGTTTTCAAAATGTCTGCCTCTAACAGAAATGCACAGTGTACACCTACGTATGAAATTTTGTTTTAAATCTCTAAATGCTTGTGTGTTGTTTTTCAACACATGTGTCGCTTCTTGAATTTTGTTCCTCAATGAACTTTCATTTGCACATTCTTGGGCGAATGTTATGTCTTTAAAATATCCCGAAACAAAAAAATCAATGGGGTTGAGGTCAGGGGAGCGTGGAGGCCATCGTATCGGTCCGTTTCGTCCGATCCATCTGTCTGGGAACCTTTCGTTTAAGTAGTTTCGCACGATCGTTGCGTTGTGGCATGGTGCACCATCATTCTGGAACACCATGTTCCGTCTGGCTTCCAGGCTTGAATCTTCCAGCAATAATGGTAGGCTATTTTCAAGGAAGCTTTTGTAGGCTACCGAATCCAACCTTGACGGCAGTTCAAATGGAATATGAATATGAATATTCCTGACCACATGTTCACACTAAAACGGTTTTCAAAATGTCTGCCTCTAACAGAAATGCACAGTGTACACCTACGTATGAAATTTTGTTTTAAATCTCTAAATGCTTGTGTGTTGTTTTTCAACACATGTGTCGCTTCTTGAATTTTGTTCCTCAATGAACTTTCATTTGCACATTCTTGGGCGAATGTTATGTCTTTAAAATATCCCGAAACAAAAAAATCAATGGGGTTGAGGTCAGGGGAGCGTGGAGGCCATCGTATCGGTCCGTTTCGTCCGATCCATCTGTCTGGGAACCTTTCGTTTAAGTAGTTTCGCACGATCGTTGCGTTGTGGCATGGTGCACCATCATTCTGGAACACCATGTTCCGTCTGGCTTCCAGGCTTGAATCTTCCAGCAATAATGGTAGGCTATTTTCAAGGAAGCTTTTGTAGGCTACCGAATCCAACCTTGACGGCAGTTCAAATGGAATATGAATATGAATATTCCTGACCACATGTTCACACTAAAACGGTGTTGAAATGTCGACGGCCTTGACTGGTGGGGGTTTTCAACAGCCCAAGTATGTAAATTATGGATATTGAATATCCCTGTTCTTTCAAAACGTGACTCGTCAGTCCATAAAATTTTATCAAAAAAATCGGGATCCTCTCGTTGTCTTCGCAGCATTGTCTCGCAGAAATCCACTCTTAACTGGTAATCTGAAGGCATCAACGCTTGAACTCTTTGAACATAACCTTCTTCATGAAGAATATTTTGTATCGATGTTCGTGGTATTCTAAGGTTTTGTGCCATAGATCTCGTACTCGTTGAGGGATTCCGGCTAATTTCTTCAAGTACTACTTCTCTGCGATCCGGATCAGCTGTAGGATATCCTTCATTGCTTCCTCGTCCTGGAATGCGGCCTGCCATGAAAGTGTTATGTGTGTTAATAAAAACACGGTGGTCTGGGTAATGCTCAGGTTGTGGTCCGCCTCGGCGTATAAGTTGTTCCCGGTACAGCTGAGCTGCTAAAGCGCCGTTGCCTTGAGCAACGCCATAATAATAATGCATTTCTGCATATTCACGCAACGTATAATGCATCACAAACTTCTTAGCAAACAAAGTCCAAATCAGTATGCAAAGCAGAGTCCCGGAATATCCAATTTTTTAGAGCACGAGGTTTCGGCTGATATGGCCTCTTATTTCGTCTGCAGGTGACTTAGCCTTTCGGGGTTATTTATACCAGAACGGCTGACGTGTCCTGTGCCGTAGATGACGAGGCTGGTCGGTGGTGATGACGTGTCCTCTGTTGGTTGGCCTAACCAGAGCCTAAAAAATTAAAAAGTAGTATTAGTTACATGACTTGAATGATTATATGATAGTTAAGCCTTAGGTCTTAGCTACATAATCGTGAAAAAAGCAGGCATTTATCACAATTATTAACGAAGTTATGGTAAAAATAAACACAGAACTCAAAAATTCTCGAAAAATCCGAAAAAAAATCATAACTCCTAAACTAAACAAAATCGGACCATATATACGTATATGGGGGTGATTTGGGTTCCTCTCGATGTGGGGAATCTAATTTTTTTTTATGACGTCACGTGTTTGGCCACCCTGTATAGACAAGTACATTCCAATACCTTCCAACAACAAACGCCAACGTCACATGTGCTTGCATTCGTTTGCTCGGCGTTGGATGTTCGGTCTGTACGCGAATTATCTGACCGAGTCAGTCTACTTGCTTTTTAAAAAGATTTATTCTCGATTATCAAAAATACAATTCTATTGATGTATATAGTATGAGCGCTAACAACAGACTTAACTAACTCTGTTTACAATAATATACTAAGTGACATATAAATCCGAACACCCAGTTTAAATGGTTTTATTTTAATAAAAGTTGGTGAATGTATTTATCTTACTGTAAATAACAAGTGAAAAAAATTTCAGCCTTATCAGTTGGACATTCCGGTTTTTATACTGTTTTTTTTTTAATTCATTAATGCTCTAAAAATGAATATTTCAGCCGCAGTAAAGAATCAACGTTGGCGGATTTTGGTTCTTGACATCCTTTACGGTCAGTTACGATGCCTAGAGTACGGAGACCTGTACGATTTCGGCAACTTAGTGAGTTTGATAGGGGCCGTATAGTGGGACTTCGGGAAGCTGGACTTTCTTTTCGGGCAATTGCAGTTAGAGTGCAAAGAAGTATAGACACTGTGGTTAGGTGTTGTCAGGCATGGCTTCGAGAAGGCCGTACGCAAAGAGCAAGGGGCACTGGACGCCGCCGTAGAACAATAGACCGTGAAGATCGCCGCCTAAGATTATTGGCCTTAAGGGACCGTTTTTCCACTACCAGGTCCATTGCAAATGAATGGTTTGCAGAACACGGAAGACCTATCGGCATGCGAAGTGTTTACCGACGAATGAGAAGTTATGGCTTGTTTTCATACCGGCCACACTGGGTCCTCCCTTTAACTCGAGAACACCGACGTAATCGCCTTGAGTGGAGCAGAAAACGGTCACTCTGGGATCAGGAATCAGTATTGTCTTTAGTGACGAGTCTCGATTTTGTTTAGGCATGCACGATGGTCGTGCCAGGGTTAGAAGGCGACGTGGTGAAAGGAGGAATCCACAGTTTTTTGTCGAAAGCCATGTTCATCACACTGTTGGAGTTATGGTTTGGGGTGCTATAGCTTATGGTTCCAGGTTACCTTTAATCTTCATCAGAGGTAACATGAATGCGCAGAGTTATATCCACGAAGTTCTAGAACCCCATCTTTTACCCTATCTTGACACCCTGGCAGATCCTACTTTCCAACAAGATAATGCCCGACCACATGTTGCAAGAGTCACAATAGACTTCTTTCAACATAATGATGTCAGATTGTTACCATGGCCACCAAGATCTTCCGACTTATCCCCAATTGAGCACGTGTGGGATATGATGGGTAGGAGATTGCTCAATTTGCAACGTCCTCCTCAGACTCTAGAAGCACTTCGAGAGGAGTTGGTGGTTGCCTGGAATGAGATACCACAGGAGGACATTGACCACCTGATCAGAAGCATCCCTTGGCGCGTTGGAGAATGCGTAGCACATCAGAGTGCATCCACACATTATTAAAGGTCAAAGGGCTTTAAAGCAGTGCAATCATTTTGAAATTTTTATCATTTACTTATTATGCTTCATTGAGTACTTATACAAAATTTTATTAAAATAAAACCATTTAAACTGGGTGTTCGGATTTATATGTCACTTAGTATATAAGACTGGATAAGGCAAAGCGCTGATCCAGGGAACTCGATCCTCTTCTTTAGTGGTAGGGGTAAATCTTCTGTACTATAACGCCTCCCCTTGTAGATGCAACTTCGAGGGTTAACGAGGAAGTTGCACATTGGAAAGATCAACTTCTTCAATAGGGGTTCTTTGTGGTTTCTTCGGCTTAGTAAAAATCTTCGGAATGATCTTCTTGTAGACAAAACAGCAAAGTAGCAGCAGCAGTACTCCATACAATAGGATTGTCCAAGAACTGGGAATGTGCGACACCTTATGTGAATGGATGTCAACACGATTTTCTATCTTCTTCTTCTTTTTACTTTGTGAATTTCATCAAATTCTATTTGGTCTAGATGAAGGCTGAAGTCGGCTTGGTAGCAATTGAAGTATTGCTATCTATATTTGGAAAAATAATTGGCTGACTTCCAATCGATATAGGCTCTTGATTTAGTTCCAGTGTACAACCGACTGGAATTTCGGCTAAGTAGGATCCCAAAACTTTGACTGTTTCTTGGCCTTCTTGACAGCTTAATGTAATGGTGGTTTCATTGGGTATAAGCAAGATCCATTGTCCGAAATCATGCAGTTTGTTCATTACTGGCTCTGTGATTACGGCTTCTACTTCTCGGCAGGTAGTGGGAGTTTTTTGTACCAGGAGTTGAACTTCACAGGGATTGGATTCTTTGATTCTTCTTAAATCTAGTTCTTTGCAAACGTACTGTTTTGTGACCGTTTCCGTGCATGCGTCTCCCGCAAAAGCGAAGTACAACTCATTCTTTACAAGATATTTTCCAGAAGGGATGACTACTTTGAACAGACCCTTATGAAAGGTTGGAATTGAATATAAGTGATAATAATCAAATTGGAATGTATGAACAATTGGAATTTGAAGAATATAAGTTATTTTTCTATCAACTGTATAACAGCTGATTTTAATGAGCTTTTCAAAAATCGGGATATTATCCAAAGTAACTTCTAAAGGGAGTTGCTTTGTGGATAGTTTTAATGCCACTGAATTTAGTGCTTGAAGTAAATGTTTTGGTTTGATTACACTGGGGTGCATAATTCCCAATTTTGCAAAAGTAAGTGAGTTTTCTATATCCTGGAGTACTGAAATTATGATATGATAGATATTCATGATCTCTGAGATTGTATCTCTCAAGAAAATGCCATTTTCTATGTAGGCTTGTGTGTTAATCGTAGCTGTTGAAAGCTGATTTATTTTAGCTTCCAATAGCTTTTGGTTATGAGTAATCTGACTTACAGTTTTATTGAAATTATCGATAAGTTCGACAGATAAGGTATTCTGACTATTGATAGCTTCTGATAACTTGTTTTGATCATTCTGCAAATCGCTTATTAGAGACTCGAATTTTTCACCATCTGAAGCATCCAGGTTTCCTGTGATTGCTTTGAAAATTGAACCTAAGCCGTTTATTAATCCCCTTTTTATTCTAACAGAGAATGATGGAACAGTTTCGTAAGTAGAGGGAAAAATGTCATTTAGTTTTCCGTCTACTTTTCTTTCTAAGAAATACAAAACATTGAGGTAATTTGCTGAGTGTTTATAGTGCTCAATATATTTCCTGGATAATGTCGCAACATTTTCAGTTTTTTTCTTAAGGTCATTAACTTCAGTGATTATTAAATTAACGTCGTAAAAACACAGTATTGAGTGACAATTTTTTGTAATTTTGGCGGTCCTTAATTTCATGGGTATCAACCCTAGGTTATTTTCTAAATTCTTCAACGTTATCGTACCATGGATTCCTATGATTCCTGGGAACCTGTAAAATAATATATTCGAAAGAAAATCTTATTTTTAGCGTGCAATTAAGAGTAAAGTAAACGTAGATTACATACATAGTTTCTTATCTAATTGCTCGAGGCTTAGTCAAACGAATAAAGTTTGCGTAGCGGACGTTTCAAATTACTTATATGCACTTTTCCGTGCTGGTCCGTCGCGACGGTCTTTTTCTCCGTATTAACACTTTGTAGTCTACACGGCTTTGAGAATTTGTTGGCGTGCTTTTTTCTAACATGCTTTTTGACGTATACTGTTTCTCGGTTATCAAGTATAGTCGGACTATCGCAATCTCTGTTAATGCGTTCTAGCGTTTTTTCTTTGTTTTGAATGAGATCGGAATTTATTTTTGAATACAATAGTTTTGTACGCTTTTTGTGGCTGTTGGTATAGTCATTGAGGAGTAATTGGTCGATTTTGATATCGAATGGTTCATTCGACGTAATATGTCCATTGATTATATCTATAGGCTTTAATTTTGTTACAGAATGTAAGGTGTGGTTGTAGGCTAAAACGGCATGAAAGATTTTCATTTTTATAGGGGTTTTCTGAAAGCCTTCTGTGTTCAACAATCTTAAATGTTCGGTGATAGTTGAATGAAATCGTTCAACGACTCCATTAGAATCTGGATGATTTGGCGAAATAAAATGAAGCTTAATTTTCTGAAGTGACAAAAGTTCAGTTACAACGGTATTTTTGAATTCAGTGCCATTATCTGCGATAATTCGGGTAGGAATTCCATGATGAGAAAAGAATAATATCAGATTATCAGCAATTTCAGTTCCTGAAAGCGAAGTAATCTGATATGCTTGAGCATATTTAGAAAAACTGTCTATAATTGTGAGAAATTTTGAACCTTCAAAAGTGAAAGTATCGATATGTACGATTTCAAAAGGTTTTGATGCAGTGGGGGTGAGATTCATGGCAATTTTTATCGGATGACGCTCATATTTACATTGTTGACAAATTTCACATTCATTTATGAATGTTTGGATTGATTTTTTCAAGTTAGGCCAAAAATATTTTTCTTTTAGTCTCTGATGCGTTTCCTCAATTCCACGATGATTCGACTTGCTTTCGTGGTAATTCCGGATAATGTCCTTGATATCAGTTTTATCTGTAACGTCAACTAATTTGGTTCTACACATTTTGAATTTTAAAGCATCGGACTTAAACATCCTTTGTAGAACAACAGAAAATTTTTCATATATATCTGGATTTTCAAACTATAAGTGATAAATGACGTTAGGAGCAATATAATCTCGAATAAATTTAAATACATCATCGTCAAAATCATTTTCTGAAAATTGTACGTTAATTCGTTGCTTGCTTTCAAATAAAATAGAAATTTTTGGTGGTGCAGGTGAATGTTTTACTGTACTTATGATAATCTGATTATTTCCCTGATTAACTGCGTAATCAACTATAGGAATTGTCTGAATGGGGTGTTGGTCCGCATTTGAATGTACAGTTTCGTCTGGATTTTCAGGACGATTATTTTGATATTCTAGATTGACTTGTTCATGTTCAATGATATCTACAATTTCGTCCGGGGGTTGAATAAAAAGACTGTCTTCGTCATTATCGTCGTTTACGAACATAGATTCGGTATCAGGTTGTTTTGGGGTAGAAAAGTTAAATGTAGGTGTACTTAATTCAGATGAGCCTTTCTGAACTGGACGGTCAAACTTAACGTTTTGGTGTTGAGTACCCGCGCATTCTTGAATCAAATCATCTAAGTCGTTCCAAAATGAACTGGTTTCTTTTGTATGGATCTCTGCACGAGACAGGGCATCTGCATTTGTATTCAGTTTGCCTTTCTTATAGATGATATTCATATCATACTCGTCTAACCTGATTTTCCATCTTAGTAATTTTGAAGAAGGGTCTCGAAGGGACCATAAATATTTTAAGGGCATATGATCAGTAATTAGATTGAATTTTCTCCCGTAAAGATAGGGTCTAAAGTATTTAGTGGCCCAGACTATTGCTAGTAATTCTTTCTCAATCGTACTATAATTTCGTTCGGAATCATTAAGCGTGCGCGAAGCATAGGCGATAGGAAGATCCTGTCCTATAGGGCCTTGTGAAAGTACACAACCAAGGGCTACGTTGCTCGCATCCGTGGTTAAGTTAAATGGCTTAGAAAAGTCCGGATACTTGAGTATCGGATCATTCATCAGAACATTTTTACATTTTTCGAAACAGTCAATAAATTCTGCATCGTGTTCAATCTTGGCTCCCTTTTTTAGACATTTAGTTAGAGGCTTTGTGAGTTTCGCAAAATCTTTAATAAAACGTCTATAGTAACCATAAGTCCGAGAAAGCTTTTAATCTGCTTAGTCGTTTTTGGAATCGGAAATTTTTGGATGGCAATAATTTTATCTGGATTTGGCTTAACGCCGTCTGGTGTGACTACATGTCCGAGATAAGCTACTTCTTTACGAGAGAATTCTGATTTATCGAGCTGTATTTTAAATTTTGAAGTTCTGAGTCGTTGGAAAACTGACCTTAAATTTTCAATATGTTCTTGAAGGGATGTAGAAAAAATTATAATGTCGTCGAGATATACGAGACATTTCTCGTTTTGTATCCCCCTTAAAATATTATCCATGACGCGTTGGAATGTGGCGGGCGCGTTTTTTAGGCCAAAAGGCATCCGGAGAAACTCCCAATGCCCATTTTCGGTACTAAAGGCGGTTTTTTCTATGTCTGTTTCCTCCATCTCGATTTGATGGAAACCACTCGCTAAGTCAAGGGTAGTAAAATACTGGCATCTGCCAAGTTTGTCTAGCAAGTCGTTGATATTGGGTAATGGATATTTATCGTCAATAGGTCTGTTCATTTAAACTTCGGTAGTCAATTACAACTCTCCATTTTTGCTTCCCCGAAGCGTCTAGCTTCTTTGGAATGACCCAGATAGGTGAATTATAACCTGAGCTACTTGGACGTATTATATTGGTCTAAATAATTGAAATCAATGTCTGGCATTTCTGATAAATTAAATGATTCTACTGAAATCGGCTGAGAAAAATTTAATGTAACAGGCTTAGTAGTGTTATTCAAAATCGTTGTCAACGCAAAATTATTTTTTGCTATCGTAAGGCATTCAGTTATCTCGCAATTATGAAATTTTTGATGAGGAATAACGATTTCACCATTGGCGATCGATGTTTTGATTTTTATTACTTGTTCGGTTCGAGGTGCGACGGTTATCAAATTTAAGTCGTTAGAAAGCTGGTGAAATTTTAGTCTAATTTTGGCGTAGGGCGTATGTAAAGTTCCTTTGCTTAAATTAATATCGGCTCTCAATAATTTTAGATTATCTAATCCAATCAATCCATCAAAAATATTGTGAAATTTAAATAGGTAAAACTTCAAATACATACGATTAGGAAGATTGAAAATTTTCGATGCCGGGATGGATGCACTATATTTGTGAGCGGATTTTTGAAAAACAGTTGATACAACAAATGGATCATCTCTGATTAAATTTGGAAAAAATTTACGAGCAATACTGGGATCAATAAATGACTTAGTTGATCTAGAATCGATCAACATTTTAATTCCATATTCGGGAAAAAGAATGTAGGATAGTTCGCTAGCATTGCTGGCGTTAAGTGAAATTACTTCTGGTGCTAGGTCTTGTGTTCTATGAATGAGTCCTTCTGAAAATTTTGAGGTGGTTCTACATGATCAGTTTCAGGAATATCTTGTGTATAATACTCGCAAGATTGATCAGTGAAATATATATCTGAATTTTGTGGTTCAGCTACAGTTTGATCGCAAACAAAAGATTCGTTACCAGGAACTTCATAGGTGTTATTAGTATCTGTCTCTGTATTGAATAGCTCTTCAGCGCTCCAATTTGGTTTTGGTTGTTGCTGGGCTGCCGAATTATGTTCAGGTTTAAAAGAAATTCTAGTAGAAGTACTCATTGGAGCAGTTTGTGGTAAAGTACGGTTAGGGTTAGGTTTGAAAACATTTCTGTTATTCTGTGTTTGTCTAAAAACTTGAGAATTCGTCGGAAATCTCTGAGGACGATAAACTTGTCTTGGCAAATTTACAGGTCTAGTCGGAAAAGTCGAATTGAACCTAGGTTGAAATGTTGAAGTGTTCGACTGACTGAATGAATAATTAGTAGGCTGAAAGTATGAAGGTCTATTTTGATTTATCATTGGCCTTTGCATTGGCCTGAAAGTTTGATTCTGGGGCACATTTTGTGATTTTCCAAAATTTTTGTTATAATTTTGGAAATAGCTGACATTGTCTTCAGATATAACGAATTGTAAAGCTTGGCTGAGAGATGTGGGTTTCATACATCTAATTGTTGTACCCAAGGGCTCTCGTAGTCCGCATAAAAATGTTTTCAGAGCTAATTCTTGATATAAATTTCTTTTTAACACTTTTGCTTCTTCAGAATGTTCATGTACGTTTACATGGCTGCATAGCAGATTCAAAATATGAAGACACTTATCATAAAATTTTTGAGGCGTTTCATTTGGCATTTGCCTCAACATAACCAAATCACGATTTAGACAAGTTTCATCTCTTTGATCAGAAAAATTCCTAGTCAGAATGTCTTTTAAATCTGCCCAACTTGTGATATTTTGGATATTCACAAGCACTTTAGCATTTTCTTTTCATTTCGAGAGCAGTGAATTTAGCAAATAGATATTTTGGAAATTATGTGGGTTCCGTATATCATAAAAATTTGCAATTAACTTTTCACTCACTGATAGAAACCTATTTAAGTCATTAGGATTTCCGTCAAACTCTGGGACGCAATTTAAAAATTCTGGTCTGAATTGAGACACGCTTGGAATATTTTCAATATTTAATCTAGATGGTCTTAAAATAGGTGAGTCTGTTGAAAGTGTCAAATTATCTATAGCCTCTGCAATATCTTCCAAAGACATTTAAAATGTATAGTTGCACTTACGCTAATACGAGGATGATCAAGAGCATCACGTTTCTTTCTTTGTCTTTACTTGGTTGCTTAACTATAAGGGGAAGATCTTGGTTGGGCGATCTGGTCCTTCTCCAAAATGTTCCGCTTGCAGATTTGGACGATGTGTGGTCCAAATCCCTGACTTCGTAGGTGGTAGCTGCACACGGTGTCTTCGATAGACCGGTTCCACTCGAACTCCCACTCACCAAAGTCTTTAGTCCGTAGGCCGTTTTCTCGGTAAATTCGTCGATACGAAAACTGCTTTCGCGGTCTCGATTGATTCGCGAAACAGCCCGAAAATCCGATCTGGCTGCGCCAATTATCTGACCGAGTCAGTCTACTTGCTTTTTAAAAAGATTTATTCTCGATCTATTGATGTATATAGTATGAGCGCTAACAACAGACTAACTAACTCTGTTTACAATAATATAAGACTGGATAAGGCAAAGCGCTGATCCAGGGAACTCGATCCTCTTCTTTAGTGGTAGGGGTAAATCTTCTGTACTATAACGCGCGTCTTTCAACATCGGGCGTAAGCCGTATTCACTCCACAAATTTTCACATCGTTCATATTACCACTGGATACTGCATTTCTGCGTCCAAAAAATTATCTGATCTAAGAGAAATTAGAAAACGTTAGTGTCCCATAGGTGGCGATGTGGCCAACTAAAGTTAACATACAGCATGTATTTGGCTACAGTACCATCGCCACCATCCATCAACCTTTTTAAGCTAGATTTATATAGTGCGGAGAGCGAAAAGAAAGGTGCTTCAAATACTCATAGATGACGCTAGGGAATCTCATTTCATCTCGTATAAGTTTTTTGTCAGGGAAATGGATATATTCAACTGGCATGCGCAAAGGTATTACTTACCTGTATGTTTTTAGAAACTTGTATTTCTGAGGTTTGTCTTCAAAAAATGTACCTCAAATTATATCTTATAGATAGGCTTGTTAAAATAAATAACCTTGTTTGTTATCTTTACAATTTGAACAAACGGGCCGGCAGGGTTATTACGTAAAGAACTTATATATAATGTCAAAAAAACGATAAAATGTCAACTTGTTAACTAAGTAGGCTGGTGTGCAAATAGTTCATGCCGCGCTTGCTGCAAGTGGACGTGGACGACAAGTTGACGTCTTATGAGAAAACCTACATAATGTCAAAAACTGAAGTAATCTCACTTTGCAAGTTTCGTAATCATTCTGTTGGTTGAATTATCTACATGTAAAGTTATGTTTGGCGTTTGGATAAAGCGTGGCAGCGTCGGTTGAGCGGCACAAACACCTTGCGCCCGGTAGCGCCTGAAGGGTTGCTCCATAAGGTGTTTGACTCTGAGTGGAGGTAGGATAAGAGCAGAGTTTGAATAAAGGTTATTTTTTATTGCAATGAACGGATAAACCGATAGTGTTGACTAATGAGAAGTTTATGATGAAAAGCAACACATTGATATTTATATATTTACTAGCTGACCCGACAGACGTCGTCCTGACTGGGTGGAATAATGAAAGGGTAAAAATATATGGAATATAGGTAATTGTATAGCGAAGTGTTTGTACCGCCATGTGGCTAACAAAATACGTTGACGTTAGCAGCATTGCAATTCCTCGTCAACTTACCTTGAAAGTAAGCATACAATTATGCAGAATGACTTTTGTTGAACCAAATGACGTCATTTGACAGCAATTATTGTATTGCTGGATATGAGTGACAAAAAACGTATAGAATCTGACCCATTTCCGGAAACCAATGAATGTAGGCGCTCTCGGTGGTACCAATGGGGTCAATTTGACTTTTCCACTGGCGCAACATAATCCAGGGGCTTCATTTTTAAGCTTGAATGCCTTGGAATGTAGACACACAACGTTCATTGGTCCAATAGCAAGGATTAGTTGTGAACTGTAATCGATTATACGTCATAATTGAATGCAGCTCGATTGGGATTAAATGCGACACTTCTACGTTGTTGAATTTCAGTCCTTCGATCCCGTTCAACTTCATTTCTCGCTTCTCATTGATCGTCAGTTTGACTTCTTCGTATATATTTAGCAGCAGCATTTATATATAGCAAGGATTAGTTGTGAACTGTAATCGAGTATACGTCATAATTGAATGCAGCTCGATTGGGATTAAATGCGACACTTCTACGTTGTTGAATTTCAGTCCTTCGATCCTGTTCAACTTCATTTCTCGCTTCTTATTGATCGTCAGTTTGACTTCTTCGTATATATTTTTGACTCACAGCTTTGCGAGTACTGCGACCTAGATTGGTTCTTCTAATTGGTGGCATTTTGAAGAATCGCAATTTTAATATAAGGCGTGATTGCGGTGAACCCTTCCACCCTTGTTAATTATTTTTGAACAAATACTTCTAAAAAAACTCACTGAACAAACTGAAAACTGGATAAAAGCTCTAATCAAATGGACTGTGCACTATTAATTAAATAAAGAAATAGTTTTTCATCGATAAACACTTTTAATCGATAATATAAATGTGCGCCGTCCAAGCTGTCAAGTTCAAAATGATAGAGTAGTGAAAGTCAGTTAAGCAAACGAAACGTATTTTCATCCGCCATTCTTATTCATAGAGTTAACTGACAAAGTTAACAATTAGGCAATACTGGAGTTTATTTAGAAGGGGCCATGACAACGTACGGATTGCAAAGAAATCAAATTCCAGAAACGAAAGCACCGTGTTTTCATAAGCAATTCCCCCTCACATAGCTAACTAATATATATATATACAGGGTGTTCCATAATTATTGCGACAAAATGATAGGGGTTGTAGAGGGCATAAAAATATGCAATTTTGCCTTATAAACCCCTGTTCGTAAATATGCCGTTTGAGCACTACCGCTAATTTTACCTTAAGAGCTCATAGGAGAAACAAAAAATTCACCAGCTGCAAAATGTTCATCTAGCACATTTCATGGTCTCGCCGGTTTGTAAAAAAAGCCTGCTGTGTTCACATTTTTGTTATCGTAAATTCTCCACACCGATTCATTTAAATTATCTGAGTGGTGCGTCAAACTAGATAGTAAATAACAGTACCTTAGTGTTAAAATGCACCGTTATTCGTATGCGGAACTTGCGGATATGCATTTAATTTACGGAGAAGCTGGTGGTAACGGAAGACGAGCCTCGCGAATCTACGCCCAACGGTTTCCAGAACGTCCTCATCCGCATCACGCCATTTTTGCAAGGATTCATGGACGTCTTCCTGTCAGTGGCAGCATCAGACACCTCGCGGGAGCAGTGCGGCCCTTCACGAGGCGCACAGTAGAATTTGAGGAAGCGATTCTGCATCATGTAGAGGCCAATCCGCGTACAAGCGTGCGTGCTATTGCACATGATATGGGAGCGTCTCAAACTACTGTTTGGCGGGTTCTCCATGACCAGCAACTACACCCATACCACCTTTTAAAAGTCCAAGCCATGGGTCCAGAAGACTATCTGCCGCGTCGACGTTTTTGTCGTTGGTGGCTGCAACAGGAGTTGAGGCAACCAAACTTTGGTCGCTACGTTTTGTTCACTGACGAGTCCTGTTTTAGAAAGGACGGTTATTTTAATAGCCGTAACAGTCACATTTGGGATGAAGAAAACCCTCA